AGTTACACCTCCCAGACCAAAGATAAGATAAAATATTATCATAAACACTGCAGAGACGTAATTATGTATGAAATATGTTATTTTCTTGAGCCATTACTTCAGCCAAGAAATAAGATGCATGGATTTGATGAAATCATGCTGTCTCATGCAGTCCTATATGTGTAACACACACACACACACACACACACACACACACACACACACACACACACACACACACACACACACACACACACACGCACACGCACACGCACACGCACACGCACACACTGCAGCATGTTAGAATCTTTTGAATGACTAATTGAACTGCTTTTGTAATAATGTAATCTCTTTTTCTGGAGTAAAATAAACAAACAAGCTAAATCATCACATATCTGTGGCATCAAAGAACAACTTCTGAGTTTAAACCATCGACATATAAATACTGGACAATTCATTTCCATAGGCTCCAATAACACGTTTTTGAGGCCAAATGGGAGGTGGCCACCACCACAATTTTGACCGTGTCACAGGTTCCGTCAAGCCCAGACAATTCCACAAAAGGGAAAAGAGGTGGAGCTGAGGGTGGGGCTATGAGGCTGGGATCAACTGACGACACCCGGTCGAACTAGCTACAAGCTAACCTGAAGCTAACCCAAAGCTAATGCGGAGGTGGGAGCTAAGCTAACGGAGGTAGCAACCTAGCTACAACCGGAGTTAACTGTGCACAACACCAGAGCTTCTGAGTCAGAGATACGCCGGGCTGACCGCTGGGTAAAACCGGGTGGAACACAGAGGTCTTCCGAGAGCTCCACAAGCCGGCAGCCGCACAGCAGAGATGCGCAGAGCTGCCGCTGGGGAGAACCCAGTGGAAAGGTTTCCATCCCAGAGCTCCACAAGCCATCAGTCCACACAGCAGACAGAAGCCGCGATCAGACAGAGAAGCGCCGAGCTGCGGAGAGGGGAGAACCGGGTGGAAAACATCGGTCTCCCGAGAGCTCCACAAGTCGATAGTCGGAACCCAGCTCCACCAACATGTTATATTTCAACCCATTTTCTAAAGTGCAGCATTATGTTAAATGCACTGGGTTTTACCCTAGTACATTTAAATTTCATGGTCAAACAGTACATGTTAAAATCTAAGCTCAGCTCGGCAGTGACCTAAAATACATAAATATAATTTTACTTACCGAAATAAATGATGTGGAGACTCCTTGGACGCTCTATTAGTGCAATTAATGCCACAGCAAGTCATTTTGTCCAAAAATTGCACAAATAATATCCAAAAAAGAATAAAACACAGAGACTCAAAATCCTGGAACAGTTTCCAGGCCAGACCGAGGCTCTAATGAGGCCTTTCCACAGAGCTAGCTCTGTGGTCACGTGGGTCTGAGGCGGCAGTCACATGTGTCGGATGCTCATTAATTATACAGAATTTTAGGCTTTTAATACACTTAAACAGAAGAGTGAGAAAAAATTCACCCCCCTCAGAGCTGTCATGAGTGTAAACTAGATCATTTAAACCAAAAACATGTTTTGGTACCAGGCTGTAAACATGTTTATTTCTGCTGTGAAATTGGTAATTTTAACATGGGAGTCAATGAGGATTTGCTCGCTTCTGACACCAGCCCCCAGCGGATGAGGGTGGAACTGCAATTTTTGGTACTTCCGGGTTGGCCTCAATTTTAGAGCCGCATTGTGGGGGCTTGGTTCAAACACATGGAGCACAATGTTTAGTATCAGGATGTTTTAACTCACAGAGGCCTGCAGGTCTTCTGTTTTATGAGCAAAGCGCTGAGAATCCGCATGTTATGAGCGCTAAACGTTATTTTGCCGCTTCCGTGCGGAGCGGTAGGGAAACACATTTCAAACACAGAACAGAGTTTGGTTACCAAACCAAGCAGAATTCTGATGACGTCACACCGGTGCGCGAAGGTGCGGGTTCCAACCCACAGGAGAGGAGGGAGAGAGGACGTAAACAGCGAGTGGATCACAGGGACTGAACAGGTGTTTTTGAGCAAAGCTACGGGAAAAATGGCTGTTTTTCCTCATTATCTAAAATGTACACCCACACCCCCCACGGTTTAGACGCGGCGCTCATGCAGGTGTCTCTTTCTGTTCCGATGCTGCTACACGTAATATTTTTAATTTATTAAGCCTACAATTTATTTTTACTCAGTAACGGATATGATTTAAAATGTAGCGAATTACAATTCTTTTTTAAACACGTACGCAAATAAAAGTAAAAGTACAGATTTTAAAAACGACTTAAAAAGTATAAATATACAAAAAAGCTACTAAATTACAGTAACGTGAGTAAATGTAATTCGTTACTTTCCACCTCTGTGCACAAGGAACAAGCTTTCTGCATTCTCTGATATTTTGTCAAAGGTGTCAACCCTTGAAAATAAAAAGGTTGTCTTCTTGTTAGCTGCTCACGCTATATTCTGTCCTTTAGTTTCTCCATTGTGTCCCACTAGCGGATGCATTCAATTCAAAACATTCAGTGAAAGTGCTGGGTGTGCTCTGAAATGTGGAGAACAAAGTATATGACCATTTCCAGGCTCACTGATGTTATCAATAAAATATGAGAGTTTATAAAAACGGGTTTATTGGTCTTTCAACACAACTAGCTTTGATTTATGATAAGCTATATGGTAATATCTCAGTATGTGAAATACCGTAAGTGCAAAATATTTTGACACACTAACTTGATTCGGACAAATGTGTGAGGGTGTTCAAACCTTTTATTAAGCTGCTTCGTTTGCGCATTTTAATGTGAATATGCAATAAATGACCCAGAAAGACGAAATGAAAAGATCAAGTTCTATGAAAAATGTATACTGCAGGTGGTCAAAAGTTTATTCAACTTCAATTAGAGTCTAATGTTTTATGTAACAGTCAAATTTACATTAATAATTAAAACCAGAATCAGGTCAGTGTCATTAACAGAGAAGTCTTAAGGTGGAGTGAGGTAATTTAATTGTCAGCATCAGGTAGATTAAGAGAGCTCCTTCCTGCTGAGAGAAACAAGAGTGTGATGTAAGTCTCCCTTTTTATGTGTGTTTCCTTCTGGTTGTGGGAACAACATTCACACATGTATTTAAGGGATTTTCAGACAAAGAAAGTGATTCCCCATCAGTAAAGGAATGCAATCTACAAAATCTTTGTTTAACCCAAGATTACAGTTGCACCGACATTTAGACAGCTTTACCACATTACTTTTCTTGACGTTTTTTTTACTAATGCAGTGCTACAGTTAGCTAAAAAAGGGGCATTTTACTTTTACCACAAGCATAAGCTTTACTTTGCAACGTAGAAAAGAGCCCACTGTATTGGTTTTAGGTTTTCATTTGGTGTGAGATAGAAATTCATCAAAAATATTGTGTTTATTGTAACTATTGATTCATTTTAGAACTCTTAAAGGTATGATAAATTCTCTTAAAGCCTTTCAAGCAAGTTACATTTTGAACAAACACACAAATAACAAAGACAAAAATTCTAAGGTTCAAACCCCTCCCTCAGGCTCTCTCCTCTCGTCAGAATCTGATGGTTGCAGAAAAGGTTTAACAGTGCTTGGATGTAACGGATACTGACAAACAACCATGAAAACATATCATTATCTTATATTTTTGATCTGTTGTTTGTGCCTTTTAGCTAGCACATCATCCTGGCAGTGGCAGCTGAATGTGATACCATCCTAACAGTACATTAAAATTCAGAGAAAGAACATCCTTAGTTTTGCTCAAGATTTCTCCAAACTTGTATTTCTCTTTGATGTCTACAATTTCCGTTTCTTTTCATGTTTTCATGTTTGAAGGTGTCAAGATTGAGATAAGAAGACGTCAAAAACAGCAGCTGAAAATATATTTTTTTCTTTTGAGTGCAAAAGTGGGCATGAAGAAAATGGGCTGGAAATCTTCCTATCTCTTATTTACACAGGACATGTGAAGTCTTTGGAAATTTTTTTTCTGGTAGAAAGAATTTTGAGTAAAAGTATATTTCATAAAAATCTCAATTTTTCTCAGTAAATCCACAGATTGTACATGATTTTCATTTTTCTATCTATATCTATCTATCTATCTATCTATCTATCTATCTATCTATCTATCTATCTATCTATCTATCTATCTATATCTATCTATCTATCTATCTATCTATCTATCTATCTATCTATCTATCTATCTATCTATCTATCTATCTATCTATCTATCTATCTATCTATCTATCTATCTATCTATCTATCTATCTATCTATCATCTATCTATCTATCTATCTATCTATCTATCTATCTATCTATCTATCTATCTATCTATCTATCTATCTATCTATCTATCATCTATCTATCTATCTATCTATCTATCTATCTATCTATCTATCTATCTATCTATCTATCTATCTATCTATCTATCTATCTATCTATCTATCTATCTATCTATCTATCTATCTATCTATCTATCTATCATCTATCTATCTATCTATCTATCTATCTATCATCTATCTATCTATCTATCTATCTATCTATCTATCTATCTATCTATCTATCTCTATCTATCTATCTATCTATCTATCTATCTATCTATCTATCTATCTATCTATCTATCTATCTATCTATCTATCTATCTATCATCTATCTATCTATCTATCTATCTATCTATCTATCTATCTATCTATCTATCTATCTATCTATCTATCTATCTATCTATCTATCATCTATCTATCTATCTATCTATCTATCTATCTATCTATCTATCTATCTATCTATCTATCTATCTATCTATCTATCTATCTATCAATCAATCTATATATCTATCTATCTATCTATCTATCTATCTATCTATCTATCTATCTATCTATCTATCTATCTATCTATCTATCTATCTATCTATCTATCTATCTATCTATCTACCTACCTACCCATGTTGTGGGCGGGGCGTTGGTGTGGGACCCCTGAGGGTCTGACCTTAGAATCGCCCCTGTAACTGAGATGTCCTCAGGAGTGATGGAAACACGAACCTGTGTGTGTATGTGTGCGTGCGTGCGCGACCGCGTGTTGGTGGACTCCCATCACAACCAAGATGGCGGCGGAGCGGACAGCCGGTTCGGTTCGCTGACTGACAGAAGAGGCAGCGTTTCCTTCTGTTGGGCAGCTAGCGCTCATACTTTGACAGAGAAAATTTATAATAACTGTAACATTGTTCAGCCAGCATTGCACCTTTTTAGCACAGTATGCAAGAGCACGGATTGAGGACGGAGACCGACCCAAGTTGAGTGTGAGGAGGACCGATTAACGTTCATAAGCGGGTAAGTACGGGATGATGAACCGTTACTGACTGCCTGCCTGGTGAGGGATTTACCGAACAACTGCCCGCTACTATTACTGCTACAAATCCATTTAGCTATTTCTGTTCAGGCCAGTCCATCTGTTTACATCTGCTTTGTGCTCTGGATTAAATGTAATGTTTTATCACAACTGAGACGACGTGTCCCATTTTATACGAAGCCAGCGCGTGCCACAGGTTGTTAGGTTGTTTGAAATCAGCATCAATTAATAAATATCAATTTAAGTCTATGGCAGTGAATGGAAACCACATCAAGCCCGTGTTCCACCATCATAAATGCTCCAACATGCACATCCCAAAGCGCTTATGATTTTATTAGAGTAAGTGACCTTTCTGGTGTGTGTGTGTGTGTGTGTGTGTGTGTGTGTGTGTGTGTGTGTGTGTGTGTGTGTGTGTGGTTTACCGCTTGGACTGGGAGGTATGTCAGTAGAAACGGGTGTTTTTTTTAAGCTCCGTCAGCTGGTGTGAGCTAAAATGAGAGTTCATCTCTGGGAAAGGGGGATGAGTTTATGCTAATGCAGCCTCACAAATATTAATCATGTGAAAGGTTGGGATCACATCAGTGCCTCTAAACCACAACTCAAGGAATACAGTGCTGTAAACGATTCAAATCTTTACAGATTTGATCTGTTTTATCAATTTTTGCCACATCAGCAAACACATTTCAATATCAGACAAAGATAACCTGTGCAAATGCAAAATGTAGTTTTATTGGACTCTTTTGAGAGACCAATTAAACACCAACCTGGCACATTGTGAAAACGTAATTGACCCCTAAACCTAATAACTGGTTGTGACGCTGGGGTGGTGGTCCCACCACAAGGGGGACTGTTTCAACTACAGGGGGATCACACTCATGAGCCTACCTGGTAATGTAAAGGCTCAGATGGAGGACCTGGAAAGACAACCAAAAACAAGAAACATTTTAAATGCCTTTATTAGAGTATTAACCCTGAGATTATCAGAGTTATTTGGGGGGAAGGCTGGAACGTGGTCAGGGGACAGGCATGGGTCAGAGCTGGGGAAGCAAACAGCAGGATGATCCAAGAAGGGGCAGGTGAGAGGCAGACGACCATGGGTAGATCCAGATGGGGCAAGACGAGGTGGGGTAATCCAAGGAGCAGAAACAAAGTCGTGATCGTGGAAACAGGCATGGAACACCAGACTATGCATGAGTTTTATATGACAGGAGGATCAGGTGAGTTGTATGAGCTTGGTTAGCAGGAGCAGGTGTGCTAGATGAATGTGAAGAGCAGGCTGTGGATTGCTGAGGGAATGGGCATGGGTGGAACTGGGTCCTGACAGGTAAGGTCTGTTAGGGGTTCTGGAAAAGAGGGTCTGGTGAATAGTCAAACCTCAGAATCAGAAGGAGCAATGTGGTTTTCATCCTAGCCATGGGATACTGGACCAGCTCTATACACTTAGGGGGGTCCTGGAGGGTGATTGGGGGTTATCCCAACCAAACATATTATGCGGACTTGGAGAAAGCTTTCAACCAATTCTTGTGGGGGGTACTTTAGCAGTTTGGGGGACCAGGCTCCTTGATATGGGCTGTTAGGTCCCTGTATGACTGGTGTCAAAGCTTAGTTCTCATTGCCAGCAGTAAGTTGGGCTTATTTTTGGTGAGAGTTGGACTTTGCAATGGCTGCCCTTTGTCACAGTTTCTGTTCCTAACTTTAGGATTTCTATGCACAGCCAAAATGTTAAAGGGCATCTTTCTCGGTAAACTAATGCTGAAGCCCTTAGTGGTGCAATGGATCAAAAATCTCACGGTTCAGATTATATGGTTTTCAGTCCCGGATGGGATCGTTGAACAGGTCTAAACTCTATATTTTCATTGAAAAAAGGAAGATATTTGAGAAAAAAAAGGTGCTATTACTGTTCCAACTTGGCTCCAACTAGCCTCCTGCTGGAAACCGGAAGTGACGTCGCTCAAGGAAAACGTTCCTGACTCTGCTCAGGAAAAAAAAAAGATTTGCAGCATGAAGCTCCAGTTTCTGAACATGAATATACATTTATGTTACATTCTGAAGGTGCACAGCCATATAGTTTTGAGCCAGCAGCAAGAGTTGACAGGAACAGCCTAAACGGTGAAAGTGCACAGCACTGGTCTAAAACGGTCCAAGTGCTGCTTTACTACTTTTGCGCAAAAGAAAGTATTCAAACAGCGATCAGAATAAAAAGCGGGTCTACAGTACAATATGTATTCTACACATCTGGCCCAGGAATCAGGCATTTAAATGTAGTTAAAGTAGTGGTAACAGCCTCCTCAGAGTCTTACTCCACCCACATTTCATATTTGAAAAATGCGGCCCAAAGAGGCGTTTCCTGTAAGACCGAGAAGGCGGAGCTACGACCGTGATTGACATACTGAAATTTGAATACAGATGGCGACGGAGAGCGACACTAGCTCAGAGCAGTCATTCGAGGTGGAGGACGTTTCCCCACCTTCTTCCCCAGAGGATAGGGAGGAGGGCTTATTGGGGGAAGCAAGCGGTCCTGAACCGTATCTTTTTGAGCCACTAGCTCGTGAGTTGTCAGAGGCCCCTGGAGTCGAGCCAGCAGGAGTATCAAGGCATCGAATGGGTCCAGTCTCTGAGTGGTAAGTAGCTTTTAGCCACAGCTAGCTATATTTAGCTTAGCTAAAAGTAATATTGTATGACTGCCTCGACAGGTGCACCTGCGGCCACTGCACATCATTGTCTGCCAGAGAAAATGTGTGCTGCAGAGAAACGCCCAAGGTATAAAAATAAAAGTACCCCACCATGAGAAAAGCATTCTGTAATGTACACATTTGTTACACAATCACTAACATCATACTAATATTGAACTCTTATAGACCTGATATCAGTTGTTCTTTGTCATAGGTAATGCTCAGGTGTCAGCAGGTGGGTGTAACCTCCTGCATAACAGAGCATCCTGGTTTTGAGGCTGTTGCTCTGAATCCCTACGTGTTGCAGGCAGTTTATGGCACCTTTCTGCAACTCTATAGGGAGATGCAGGAGACTACGCTCAACAGGTAAGACAACTGTCAAATTACTTTTTTTATGAATACTTTATAACTCATACCACCTCTTTCTCAGCTGTTACAGACATCTGGCGTACCGGAATGTGGTCAGGTGGTGTTGGGGTTACCTGGGACAGCACGTTCGTGTTGTGATCCCGTCATGCGCTGTCTCCAGAATAAGGCAGGAGTTCCCAGAAGACGGTGCATACAAAGGATTCCTCCCTCCTCTGAACTAATATATATTTTTTTGATTAAATAAATGTTATAATATATATTTCCTGTATTGATTCCTGTCCATAAAAAGCTGCATAAATCACAAAACGGTAAATGCACTTCTTTACACTTTGACATTATTTATATATACACACATATAGCCACATACTTTCAAATGAGCTCTTACAACAGTAAGGTTCTAATTCGGGGTTAATTAATGCTGCTGTAACAAGTGAGTTTACACCCTGTGTGATTAATGAAGTCTATTCTAGAGCAGGTTCAATTAGGTAAAAATGAATGATAATAAATGTGATATATGTATTTATACACATCAAAATATCAATATAATTGTATTTAAAAAGACACAATTGCGCTTTAAAGATAACATTTATTATAGCTACTACTAAGACAATGTTAGATAACAATCTGATCATAACTTTCAAGATTTTTGACAAAACTCTAAACCACAAGCAGAGATTCTGGAGCCATGTGAGGAGAGGTTGGGCCAACAGTGATGTTTCATAGGTTCCTTAGACTGGAGGTAGCTTTCACTGTGATGACAAACGTGGAGATGGATCCCGGGAGCACAGGTTTTTCTGTTACAAGATCAGGAGGCTCTGAGGATAAAGTAATATTAGTATGACTAGTATGACTTACAAAAGCAAGACTGGTGAGTTTTGCTATGTTACATACGGCCAAGATTTTCAAGTTGTATGGGAGCCACAGAGCAGAAAGGTTGTAGAGATCAATAGACATCTGGGAGGTGGACAGCATGAGTCACGAGTGGATGAGCATAAAGATCCATAATGACGACAGGTAACTCCTCTGTCGTACAGTGGTGTGCAGCCTGGCTGAGGAGGAGAAAAGGAGAAACCACACAGAGTAGAGTACTAACTAATAATTACAATCTCCTGTGTAGCTCACCTGACGTGCACTTTAAAACCTGGACCTGTGCCTGCTCACAGCATCCCGTTTATCTGGTCTTTGGAACTGGGCACAGAGCGGTTCTGGAACCGTAATTTTGTCCGAGTACTCCTGATATGGGAGAGGATCCACCACCACAGAGTCGAACAGCAGGTCCATAAGCTTGTGCACATATACTGGAAAAGGGTTTTCAGTATTACAATAGCTCTCCATGACCATCATTTTGGTTTTATCATACAATATATGACATACATGAGGTTGGATTGGTCTTCAGGGCTCTCACTGTGTAGTCTCCATGTTTGTACTTTGGGTACACTACAGCATATCTCAGCTCACCAGTTGCTGTTGCTGCATGTGAGCGTGCTGCATTTTCATTATAGTGCATTGCAGCAATTTGTAATCTGAAATAATCAAATAAACAAACCATGTAGATTTGAGGCAAAATTCTACATTTCATGCTAAAATTTGAACAATTAGAGGCATTAATTTGAACATTTGTTGTATTCATTACCTAGACAGCATTCCTTTGAAGGAGAAGACTTGACTTTTTGGAGTAAATCTGATGATGAGACTGTGGAAAGCCTCCAAGGTGGATGTGTGGTACTGAGGGCTTATCTTCTCTACGTCCTTCACAAACCGTGGAGCTAACAGAATGGCAGTGAGCTTCTCACATGATGCTGTGCCTACGTAGAAAATGTTAATTACAAAAATTACAATTTGATCAACTTTAGAATGTTGCTATTATTTCCATTGAGAAAAAGTTACCCATAGCTGACATTTTTAGATGACAAATGTATGAAAGAGTGACTAATAGTGCTGTAGACAGGTGTGGTCATTACTTACGGCATTTTAGTACATATTATGTCAATTATGGCTGTTCTGCCTAAAACCATGAGTTGTGTGGCGCACTCGTGTGTTTAAATTTCTGCACAGCATTTTATTCTTAGTAATTAATTGCTGTTGGCCAAATGGTGGTGTGTGACCTTAGCAGCTACATGTGATGTCTGTTACTCACATGCTCAAAAAATATTTCTCCATGTTGAAGGAGGTGAAGACAAATATTCTGTTGTGGGGTGACGTGTTTTAAATGTAAATAAACCAAACAGTAAAGGCTCAGCTGTAATGAGTACATGCTACACTTACTTGGTTTGAGCCACTGTCTTGCCTGTTCTCCATCCAGAGGTGCATGCAGACAGCTAGGGAACAGGGCGTTGTCATGGCTGTGCACATTTTGGATGTGGTTGGCAACTGAAGTCCACTTTGCAACTGCCTCCTGTCCTGAGGAGGAACTGGATGCTGACCAGTAGAGGTGGTTCACCACACTTTGCTTCCACAGTCTCACATCCTGGGTCGTCTTTCTCTTCCCCAGCTCTTCGATTTTCTTACCAATTCCTGGAGAGCCAAATAGACCCACATTTAAAATAGAAAAAAAAATCCTGTAATATTCACTATATACATCCCCAAAGATTACCTTTTCCCATGTGCCAGGGGTCAAAGTAGTGACTGATTTCCTTTTTTTCCTCCCTCAAATACTTCTGCACTCCTGTGTGGCGGTCAGTCACGACTTGCTGCACATCGACCCCCCTCTCCAAAAGTGTGCTCAGACTTCGCACAAATCCCTCCTTCTCCATTCGCACACTATTCCCAACTTCATTGCTCTGAAAATAAACATAATTCTCCATTGATCTGTGAATAATTAACCATTAAATGTTTTGGAATCATCAGGTAATGTTGTACCTGTACAAGTTGGATATCAATAACTTTGTTTCTTTTGAGATCCATCATGGTGTAGCTGCCATATTTGGCTGAGTGTCCTTCAAGAAATGCAAGTTATTACTTAATTTACATTTGATAGCAAAGGAATAAAATAAATAAATTTAAACGTATTCACCAGGTGAATCAGCTCGCATGTCACCACCAAGAGTCACAGGTCCAGATTCAGTAGCCTCCTGGATGATATCAGCTTGCTCTAGCTGCCACTGCCAGCTCACTGTTGGAATTAAGAGCTTTGCCTGATGCCGACAGAATGACTGCTTGGACAGTCCCTGCACATTGAAGGCACCCAGGAACTAAAATATGAAAAGTTACGACATGAAATGAGAGACGCACAGACCTTATCAAAACTAACCTAAACAGTTTTGGCCTATACCTTAGAAATCTGGCTAAATGATGAGCCTGTGAAAAGGACAGCAGCACAGAGCTGGAGGTTTCCTGCTGGGATGCTGTTCACCATGGGCTGACTGGACCATTCATTGTAGTGCTCACAGGATGAACACCGTTGTGTCACACGGAGCAGTGTGCCGACTGTTGTCGTGTTCACAACACAACGACCGGTACAAACGGGACACCTTGGGGTGTGGACGCAGCTCTGGGACTTTGTGGAAGATGAATTTCCGTCACGGTACCTGTGTCACAAGACACACTGCGGCTGGGAGCTCTAAACTGTGTGGCTATGTAAAATACAAAGAAGCAGCACATTTATAAATGTTTAAAATAGCATAAAATCACGTGTAACAATAATCTGTAAAACAAATTAAAACTAGAAGGTAATAATAAAATGTTTACATAGAAGATTATTAAAAATAATTCACCTTTGCTACGTCGATAAGGCTTTACATGAGCCTGGACAAGTGCATTTTTGCAGATTACTAAATCAGTCTGACAGCCAACGTCTTGGGTAGATTTAGCCTGAAACAAAAAATAGAAGCACATTGTTGTTGGAGTTTATAAAGTCATATAATATACAAAAGAAACTGTCCAATATATATATATATATATATATATATATATATATATATATATATATATATATATATATATATATAGGCGCTTTATAACATTCCTAGTGTGTGATCGTTATTATAATGTCAAAGTCAGTCACATATGATGTGAAGAACCTGAAATGCGACCTCCTGAACAGAATTCCTCACAGAACCGGGTTAGGCTTTGGTGTAAAGCTGGATTTCACGCTGTAATGATGTCTGTCAACTAGTGCTGCGTTAGAGCCACTGTTGCTGAATTACCGACTGACACAAAAACAACCCGAATTTTCTCCGAGCCTGACAGAAATAGTCAAGTGGACCTTTTTTGTCGGCCAGGGCTTTGAGAAATGTTCCGATTCGCCGCTGATTCTAACCTTACATCCCGTTCCACATTTTGTGAACTTGACAAATTAGCCCGAAGGCAGTGCAGGCTGATATTAGCTAAATGGAGTGAACCACGTCTCTCAAACTTTGCATTTAGGTAGGAAATTGTCTTTAGAAGATGCTAACTTTTATTTAGCTTACTCACCTCAGACTGGAGCCCGCCATGGTGTTGGAGCAGAGTCGGTGGGCTGCATCTAATTCGTGGAAGAGCCACGGTGGGCACGGCCTCCCTCTTCAAACGGAGACGTGCAGAATAACCCAGTTCAAACTCCATCATGTTGGCGAAGGAATCGCGGGTAAAATGCTGGTTGCAGACTACAGCACCAGGCGGGAGCTGACTGTTTTCCAGTACACCGATTGCGCGCAACCACTGGCGCCTAATTTCTAAGTCCAGTGGAAAGGAGTGCAACCCCACAGAGCCACCACAACCAACTACACTACACCTTTTAACCATACTAACACGATATGGAACACTAAACCTGAATTACTTTCCTAATAAAACTAACAGCTAAACACTAACTAAACTACAATATCTAACAGCCAAGCTAACACTAAATAAGTATGTATAACACTAAAAGCTATGCTAAAGACTAGAATATGCTAATGATATATGCTAACGATATGTAACACTAAACCTGAATTACTTTCCTAATAAAACTAACAGCTAAACACTAACTAAACTACAATATCTAACAGCCAAGCTAACACTAAATAAGTATGTATAACACTAAAAGCTATGCTAAAGACTAGAATATGCTAATGATATATGCTAATGCTGAACTACCGCTAACCGTCCTACACTCGCTTGCAAATCCAACTCCCAACTCGCCACAGGGCGTGGCCGAGACTCTCGTTGCTTTATAACTTTGGCACAAGAGCTGCTACGTAGTACTCTACTGGTTTACGTAGTATCTTACTCTTTAGCCATTGGCTAAAATTTATTCAAAATGTGTCAAATTCTGTGTTTTAAGCTGAAGGTGGCGCATTACTGTGGTTTTTAGGCAGAAAAATTAATTTTTAAAGAAAATGCACCAAAATGCTAAAATAATGAATACACACATTTAAAACACTATTAGACACTCATTTATACAGTTCATCAGCAAAAAAAAGTTAATTTAGACGTTACTTGCTCTTTAATATAATTCTAGGGTAGCTAAAACATTAGCTACGTTTACATGCAGCATATTTCCCCTATCCGATTAAAGTCTTGGTTAATCGGAAATCAAATTCCACACGTCTTTCCCCATGCATTTAATTTTCTTATTCTCTAGCTTTGTCCATTGACTTATGGTTTTTTTCCTCGTTATGGAGCTTCTTTGCATTTTTACCTGTATGCTTTTCTTTTTGCTGATTGGTTTAATAAGCTACAAGCTCAGTAGTACGCGATGCCACTGCTCTTCCGCCACAGGAGAGGAGAGCAGGATAATGTGCTAATGATCACCCGCCCACATGTCCTCCAGCTCCTCAGACTTGTCCTGAGCGTATTTTTTAAATCTTTACTTTGATTGTAATTTTTTTTGTTTATGTGAAGCGCCTAGTGATTTTTATCTGAGAGGCACTATATAAAAGATTTCTTTCTTTCTTTCTTTCTTTCTTTCTTTCTTTCTTTCTTTCTTTCTTTCTTTTTTTCTTTCTTTCTTTCTTTCTTTCTTTCTTTCTTTCTTTCTTTCTTTCTTAGGCAGAGAGACTTCACACTGAAGTTGTACACATGCACAGTTAACATTATTTTACTCCAACAATCCGAATGAATGTGTACATGTGGACACCAATCAGAAAGATTATCGGACAAAACCACCTCTCTCAATGGGAATGAAATTTCATTCCAATCGTGCCTTATCGGATCAGATTATTCCGATTGACATGAAACATGTTTGATCTGATAGGGCGTTCACTCTGATTCCTTGCGCCCATGTAAATGTAGCTATTGATGGTTTTGCTCAAGTCTGGACCAGCCTTTCATGTCATGAGAAAACTCTGCTGCTGGATTTCAAACCTCAACTCAATGTACTAGAAACATATTCTTTTCTACAATTGTATAAATATTTAGCTCATAGGGCCATTGTTAAGTTTAGGTTTTTTTTTGTCTTTTGTGAAATCCCTTGTTTCGGAGTGTTGATGTCTGCTACATGTCTGTTTATGTCCTGAGACTCGATGGCTGTCCTTTTAGAATGCCAGAGAACAGAAGAGGTCATACTTATAATGATGTCATCTGGCCCAAAAGAGCCAAATGGCATGGACTGCTTTCATGACCTGGTTGTTCAGTCAAATTCAGTCATAATGTGAGTGAAACATCATAAGGGCAGACGTAGGTGACTGAAGCTTAAAGTTCAACTTTAACTTCCTCTATGTTAACTTTGACTTCTGACATCAGATGTTTCCTCTTGCGGCGAGGATGGTTTTAGTCTCTCAGACAAATGGTCCATGTTATTTCCAACCTTGAACATTTATTGAATATGAACCAAGTTTAAGAAAAGACTGATTTAACAGAATATGAATCCTCTGCTTGCCAGATATGGAGATTGTATCAAGATGTTCCTGAAGATGCAATCTCACAGTAAAACATCTCTGGTTTTCATTTCAGATGCTTAGAATAATTACTACCAGCTCCATCCTCTGTGGATTGTTTTATTCTGAAATCGTGGCAGAATGGTTACAACAGAGTCGTGTTTCCCCCCGGCTTGGTGTGGTTTGATCGGGAGGCCTGCAGCTTGTTGTAGCTGGTTGTAAGTTTTGCTTATATGTCCTAGTGTCCTATGTGTCATCCTGTTTTTCTTATTTAAAATTTTCATTATTTTCTCCCAATTTTTTTTATTATGATCTTGTATTTAAAAAAAATTTTTTTTTTAAAGTTTTTATTTTCTTGCGACTCAGGTAAAGCTGAAGTGGTAGCAGCCGGCTGTTTCTCCTTCTCCGATATTATTGAGCAGAGAATCTCTCACACCAGTGGTGTTCTGTTGCTGAATCCGTGAGTGTATAATGAGTGGAGCACCCAGTTAAGTGCGGAAGTGCGGTGGTTTGCTGAGACAACAGGATGGTCCAATAGTTGCTTTCATTCTGAGCTGTGGTATTGGAGGAGGGGTTTAGACAAATGCGAGAATGGATGAACTTGATGAATAAGCAATCTACATTCAAGATTTTAAAATGTAATCATTGATTCTTATTTCTATATAAACAACTAAAGCTTGAACCCTGTTTGTTGTGTGTTTGTTACAGTCAGAGCTCCACTGGAAAAGGCTAATTATCACTATTATTCTGCTGTTGTTTAGTTTGCTGTGTTCACTAGGGCAAATAACAATTACCAACTTTATTCTTCTCATCATTCAGGGTGATTATGAGATGAAAGTCAAAGCATCAATAACACAGAGTCCAGTTTTAACAACAGCAAATGAAACCATCACAGACTGGAAACCAATTTGTGTATTTACATAAATAAATCTGTCTAACTTGAAGCTACAGAATTAAGAACAGTTTCTGTCAGTCAGGGAATTAAAAGATCAGGCTGGGGAGACGAGGCTGGTCTGGGAGATCAGGTTTCCTGGAGACATGGTGTTTAATTCCCACAAAGCTCTGCATTAGCACTTCCTTGAGTAAATGCATAAATCAGGATGGTAATGGGGAGCATAAGCCTCCTCCCCTTCCAGTTGACTCATGGGTCTCCTGAATAAAAAAAGATTATGTAAGTGAACGGGGCTATAAAAGTTATATTCTGGTCCGCTTTGCCTTATGCCCTGAATCACACACATGTTGTACTTCAGTTTAAATGACAAATAATTATGTGTTTTGACTTTTTGGTGTAATTTGATGTTTATTAGCTTGTAAAATTTTTTAATTAAAATGACTACAAATGACAAGTCGTATATGATGTCACAGCAGAATCTTTTCTCCCCCGCAGCGGCCGTTTATCACATTTGTTGTGCTTTTCTTTAAGTTTAATTAGGGCTGCACGATATTAGGAAAACCTGCGATATTCGATAACAGTGCTTAATATTGCGATATCGATATTACTCACGATAAATGAACAAATACTAAAGTATGCAGTGTTGATGTCGTCTGGCGTGTGACGTCTGCTCTGGGTTCAAAGCAAACAAAAACTAATGCATGAATTCCATTACAACATAA